GATAAACAAGCGATATTTTAATATTTTTAATATGAAAGGATCTGGGACCGCGTCTTTCTCCTCAGTAAGCAAGCCACTGCAACCGACGATCTTTGAAATCCTAAAACTAAAAGCTACGAAAGAGTACTTATGCCTTCATTAAGATCCACTTTCACGCGACGTTCAATGTTTCGATTTTCTCTTTACGCATGGTTCAGACATAACAAGCTATGACCGACGTGACGATTGTTTAAGGGGGTATTCCCAATCTTTTGCCTTTTTTCGGCCTGTTTTTCAATTATTTTTTTTTTCAAGGAAAATGAATAGTAATGCGCCTAACTCTTTGGGATTCTTGTTTATTGAACATTAAAGTTTACAAATAAATTTTTTTCGACATAAAAAAAGACATTATTGACGTCACAAAATGGCGGCAAACAGACCCCTGTTCGCCGCAAACGCCTGGACGGGCGAAGACTTTTCTCTGGAACGGCTTCATCTGAAACAGATTTCGTGATGAAATTAATAATCTGCATAAGATTCTCTGGAGCTTCTCCCGTTGGCAGCAAAAAATCTTGCAAATTAACAAAATGGCGGCCATATGAAAAAACAGGCGATTTTTAGCCCGCTTTTTTGCAGCTTTAAGGTGCTTCAAACAATGTTAAATGTTAATATTTTTGGCTGAAAGTGGGAGAAGCTCCAAAGAATTTAATAAGAAACAAAATGCGCAAAGATTCAAGTCAATATATCTTATAGTTTCTGCGAAAAATCTTCGCCCGTTAAAAAAAAATGTGGTTTCGAGAAAAACGCGTTTAAAGTTTTGACTTTAGTTAAAACCATTTTGGGGGTTCTTACCATTAGTCAGCTATGCCTGGATACCGAATTCGCTGATCGGAAAACGGCTTGGGGGATGAAAGTATTTAGTCTAAAGTACAAAAAAACGTGAAAATTTTTTTTTGATTTTTTGAAAAAAAGATCGGGAATACCCCCTTAAGACCTGGTTAAACAAGCTATTCAAATGAAATTACGTTCTCGAATTTCACTTGGAATGTAATGAACAACAGAAATACGCGATAATTCATATTTTCAGCGGTTGATGTTTAATTTTAAATATACCAACGGTACTGCCTACGACTACGACGGCGATTACGACAGCGACTACGACGGCGTCTACGACAACGACAACAGAGAATTTGTAACTTACCATTTGTCTAGGATAAACACCTTTGCCCGGCACCTCCACTGGTTCTTCATGTCCGCTATCTGTCACTGTTGCAAAATATCTAATAGCAATTACCTTTGTTGTGATACTTCCTGTATTGCCATGGTGATCTGGGAGGAGGTTCGCATCTAGTGCTTTCCCCAGGAACCGTTCACGGCCACCAGCTACCGCCGGTTCAGTCTTGGGCGTATCCAGCGAGACATCCTTCAGTTTACTCACAATCTCCGTCACTCGACGCAAATCGCAGGCACACTTACGCTAGTTACAAAAAAACACTCACACTGTAAATGGTCACCCTAATTAAATAAAAATGATTTTAATATTTTGCGATAAGGAAAAAAAAAAACTACAATTTTTTACGAAATTCTGAGAACAACTATATCGTTTTACTATGGAATGGCTGAATATCAACGTGATGCTTTAGTGCGATCAAATCCAATTTTCCAACGCTCGGTTTTTTCCAGGTTATTAAAAAAAAACAACCAAAAAATCACCGCTGCCTTAAACTAAAAACGCATTCAAAAATAACTGTTTATGGATTATTATATTTTTTCAGCAGAATTGCTCTACAATACGTCAATTTTGCAGCAAAATATGAGATAAGATTTGTTGATCTAGATATCCAAAATCTCATGGAAGCATGAATTCGTATAAAATCAAAGGGTCTCCTGCAAAAATTTAGCCTAAATGTTGTTTTGGTATGTTGAAAAAAGCATAAATCAATACGCAGTATTAAAAATTCTTAAAATCTTCCAGGAGTTGAAGTTCTATATGCCTAAAACATTTTGTGGAATGCAAAAGGCCTCCCTTAGCTCAGTCGGTAAAGGTGCAGCTACAAAGCAAGACCATGCTGGAGGTGGCTGGGTTCAATTCCCGGTCCGGTCTAGGAATTTTTCGGGTTGGAAAATTTCTCGACTTCCCTGGGCATAGAAGTATGATTGGACTTGCCACACAATTATACCAATGCAAAAATGGTACAGGCATCGAACGCTCTCAATTAATAACTGTGCAAGTGCATCTAGAACACTAAGTTGAGAGCACGCAATAAGCTAATATGCGATATGCAATAAGCTTGAAACGCGAAAAAGAAGAAGAAGAAGGAATGCAAAAATGTGTTACCAAAATATTTAAATTGTATTGGAGATATTTTATAGGTTAATATATATCTTGTTCGATTTCCACTTTTGAGCATTTTGAATCTCCGTTCGAAATAGAATTTAAGATTATACGATGATTCGACTTAATGATAGAATGGGCAAACCTTCGGGAAGCCCCATAATATAATTGCCTACGTAACAATTTCGGTTTTATCATGGTTTTGAAGAGGCCTTATAGGCTTAGAATGTACTGAAAGACCACATTGAAATCGGAAATGTTGCTTGTGTGGTTTGGCATATTAGGTTTCCCAAAATTCCTGAAGTTCAGATCTTTATTCTTTTTTTTTATTCCTATTTTTCACGGATTTCCCGGTTTCCCCGGTTGGATTGACACCCTGTAAGTTTTGACGAGGATCGATTTATACTTCTGTGAGGGTACGACAGTGCGAAAAATGAACAGAAGTTGAAATTAAGCGAATGGTCATCACTGCGAAAATACTAGTCAAACGTGCACTCCTTTACCTAACTCATACATTGATGGATGAGGGGATTTGTGGTATGCCCTCAAATCCACAGGCAATAAAGTGTGAGTTTGACTTGCTCTGCGGCTGTGGAATACCTAAAGTCCCGCGTTGCCGAAAGTATTTCCAAGTAATGGTGTGTTATAATGCAACTCTTCTTTACCCAACTATTGGTTTGCTTCTCTCGTCATGACCAATGTATTTATCTCAGAGAGAAGCAGTAGGGTGGTGTCGCGTGCTATAACATCATCAGCATTGTTGACGGTTACTCCCGCCTCGAATTATTTAATTCTAAGTTAATTTTTTTCTGAAAAGACAATCAGTTTCCTAAAACTTTGTTTCAGACAACATCATTTCGATTAGATGAGCCGTTTTCGTGCTATGATTTTTTGAAAATATCGAATACGCCATTTGAAAAATTAGGTGAGAGACAAAATGGCCAAAATGGTATTCGGAGAGGGTCAAAATATAATCGATTCGTCAGTTGCCGCAGATTTGCGCAACTGTGTCCCGAGATTTTCAAACCTCTTTGCACCTGATAAACATTTACCAGTATTTACGATATGCACCGCGACGCGATGATGTCGAACGTCATCAGCAAGCAAACGATCCTAACCGGTTGGCAGCAATCTCTGCGCTCAGGTTTCGTCACGCTTGGACGACCCCCCGGTTATGCCCGATCAGGTAATTAAAACGGCATGGACGATCAATATTGCTGGCTGTGGCTGCGCGGCTCTGCGAACGCACTTCGAGTTTGAGTCGCGCAGTTGGTACTTGTTTAGCAAATTATAGAAATCTGCCTAGTTTTTTTTCCCTTCTGTCTCGTTCTTTCGCAATCATAATCTATGTAAACACAAACATAATCCGGCTATCGATCACGCAGTGACGCATTACCGTGCGCGCGGCGGGCACACCACCATTTTGCACTCTCAGTTACATCATTCAGGGTCATTACTGGTGCGTCTGTCGTGGCTGAGGGCTGTTCGTTTAGCTCGTTTCACACGACATCGGCCGCCGAGCTGTGTAATGACGCTTATCAAAAAATTTCCAACATGTGCACAGTGTCGGCGGCCAATACTTAGATCGGTAATAGACGATTACAATAACGCACAGACAGTAGTTTGTCCATTTCATGACGATTATCGACATTCAACCACAGACAAACAGAAGGAACTCTTTAAAAAATTTGAAAATATCATAGCGGAACTCACTAACGACATCTCGTGAGTTTTTTGTGGAATAAAGCTTGCTTGCCAAGTCTAAAAAAGTGTTGCATACAAGTTCGATAGAATGTTTACACTGAAAACGGATCTTACTCAGAGTTTAAGTCACGTTTACTCACTCGTATGTAGAAATTTCTGAAAGCGTAGGCTACTCATGCGCTGAGTGACCTAGGCTTTTAGAAATGTCTCCAAACGAATGAGTTAGCTGAATAAAAGTGACTCACTCTCTGAGTTAGTTTCGTTTTCTGTATAGAAACGTCAAAGTGATCCGATGCCGGCGCTGTGGGATTCGCGAAACTAATAATGTAATGTGCTAATTGATCGTTAAATGTGTGTACGATGATTCAAGAACAAGAGTTACGTGTGATTGTCTGTGATTAAACGCTCATGATGCTGCACCAGAGGGTGGCAGTATCGGCGACATTTGGGTCTAGTTTTAAATTTGTATGCTTTGTTTTGAACAGCGGTTGCGTTGTTTGAAGGCTCCCGATTGAATGTGTTCGTAGAATAACAGTGAAAGTTACAGTAAATTGTATAGTTGCTACAATTTCCCCTCTATGATCTAGAATTGAGTTGATTTCCTTGAAGTCTCAAAGTAAATCCTCGGAGTTCCAGGCATGGTTTCGGCATGAAGCAATCCATTATTTTTTACCGTCATTGCAGTATGTACACGACCAATGAGAGTAGCTCAGTAACTGAATCAAATTCGACCCAAAATCGCAAAAAGTAAGGTACTCAGGCACTTTTTTGCTTTTTCAGCAAAAACTGCTCGAATGTGAGGAAAATCGACGAAAATTGTATTCAGTCTAGGAGTATACTAATAACCTGAGTGAAATGTCTCTCAATTTTTCCCGAACAAACAGAATTCGTCTCAGCTACTGAGCAACTCTCATTGGCCGTGTACGAAATTAGACGACTTTCCCATGATTAATCAGCTGTTTCTTTCGGTTTTCATTTTCAGCTCAATCGATGACGAAATCGATGGCACGTGTATAGTGCGCGCACGTGGTTTGCCCTGGCAGAGCAGCGATCAGGACATCGCTCGGTTCTTCCGGGGACTGAATGTGGCCAAGTAAGTTTCATAATCTCCAACTGCTTCATCACACACCGTTCGTAGAACAGTACCGACAGGTTTCAATTGCGAGCAGGCAGTCTACTTCAAACAAAGTTCGAAACTGTTGTACAGTTTACCGAGAAATGTAAACACTCTTCGCAACCCCGGTGCAAGCGCGCTGATAATGGAGCGACCTTTTCACATTGGCGCTACCGGCTCCATCGGTCGATCGAGATCTGTTCCACCACCGAGTTCACCGACGGGACACGATTTGCTCTGTTTAACATAATGTGATGCTGGAAATCATTCTCCTCTCGCTCGCGCTGTGTGACCGGTCGATCGGTGGTCGGTCGGTCGGTCATCCAACCGTCAAGTGGCGCTTGTCTAATCGCCTGTGGTGGGGTGGCTGTTAACATTTGTTGCATTGCAAATAACCGTTTAGTCACAAACGAAGTGAATTTGTATCGAAATTAAATGACTTCTTTTTCTTCGCATTACAAGCTTATTGCATATCGCATATTAGCTTATTGCGTGCTCTCAACTTAGTGTTCTAGATGCACTTCCACAGTTATTAATTGAGAGCTTTAGATGCCTGTACCATTTTTGCATTGGTATAATTGTGTGGCAAGTCCAATCATACTTCTATGCCCAGGGAAGTCGAGAAATTTTCCAACCCGAAAAATTCCTAGACCGGACCGGGAATCGAACCCAGCCACCTCCAGCATGGTCTTGATTTGTAGCTGCGCCTTTACCGGCTGAGCTAAGGGAGGCCATTAAATAAAATCAATGAGCAACACAATTACATGGAGCCGTTAAAGTGAACAAGCATCTTGGACCTGAACTGCTTGGATAACAATAATGTGACACAGAATGCATGAAATTACACTTGTTGTTACCAGGTGAATCTTTGTTATTGACGAAAAAATGAATGAGATTTTGATGAAGATTTTTTTGAGGATTAAGTCTTTCAGTGACTATGTGAAAAACAATTTTGTCAATATCGCGCGAAAGACTGTCAATGACAATGACAAATCTCAGCACTGAGGGTGGGACTTAGGAAGTATTTTTTGTGCCAAGTATTCATAAAAGGAGGGGCTTCGAATGTGAATCTAAAGGCATAAATAAGGGTTCCGACAACTTGTTTGGTTCCAGGTATTCAATTATGAAGTCTGTAGAAGGGAAATTAAAATCGTCTGTCATCAAAATACATGGCATGTTGAGAAATTGAGCTCGTAAAGGAGAATTTCATGTCTCAATTTGAGAATTTTTGGCTCACTGGGTACTTTTCTTACCAGCTTTTTTTATTTAAAAAACGAAAATCATTTTGAGATATTTAGGATTTAATTTTTTTAGAATTTTTACTTGAAGTTACTAGATACATTTGTTTGTATATTTTTCCCAGAAAAACATTAATTATCTCTACAAATTTGTCTTAGACGTCATTCCGATCAGAACTCCGTTTCGGTGCTACATTTTTTTGAAAAATTTCAATGGCGCCATTTTTTTTAAATTTTACAAGTTCCAAAATGGCCGAATTTCAGTAAAAATTTGCATCATTGCCCATTACAAACAATTACGCAAAGTTTCATAGAAATCGGAGAGGTCGATTATAAAAAAAGTTTCGCTATTTTCCTGGAACTGTTAAAAGGGAGGATTATAATTAACTCTGAAAATTATTGCAGCTGTACTTCAAAGGAATTCCAAGACAGTTCTGACTAGAATGCCAATCAAATTTTGAAGAGAACTCCAAGTGAATTCTTAGGAGAAATTCAAAGGGAATTCTTAACTGAATTCAGCGAAAATTCGGAAATAATTCCAATGGATTTCTCAGAAGAGGACCTCACAGCCTAAAGGGTGATACGGTCAAAATTTGGTCAAGGGAAAACGCGTGTAAATCGGTGAAATCGTTTATTTAAAAAATCAAATTAAATTTCTTTTTCAAGTTCAATTAGTATAAAATTCAGGAAAAATATTCAGTTAGGCTTCCACTTTTCCAAATCCGAATTGCCGGGCCTTACGCTTGACCCCTGCCATCAGATTTTGTACAGCCACCTTGTCCACCTTCTTCGCCGCAGAAAACCAGTTTGCCTTGAACTGCTGCTCGCCCTTAGCAGTTTTTTGGTCTTCTTTAGGTTCCGCTTGACAATAGCCCAGTATTTCTCAATTGGGCGGAGCTCTGGCGTGTTGGGAGGGTTCTTGTCCTTGGGAACCACCTGCACGTTGTTGGCGGCGTACCACTCCATGGACTTTTTACCGTAATGGCAAGATGCCAAATCCGGCCAAAACAGTACGGAACAACCGTGTTTCGTCAGGAAAGGCAGCAGACGTTTATTCAAACACTCTTTCACGTAAATTTCTTGGTTGACAGTCCCGGAAGCTATGAAAATGCTGCTTTTCAAGCCACAGGTACAGATGGCTTGCCAAACCAGATATTTCTTTGCGAACTTTGACAGTTTCATGTGCTTGAAAACATCTGCTACCTTTCCCCTTCCTTTTGCCGTATAAAACTCCTGTCCCGGAAGCTGCTTGTAGTCGGCTTTGACGTAGGTTTCGTCGTCCATTACCACGCAGTCAAACTTCGTCAGCATTTTGGACGGCATTTTGACAACTGAAGAGTGAATTCCAAAATCAAAATAGGAGCAACATTCTACACACACACACCTTCAAAATGAGGGGTGTTCAGGTTTTTTAAATGCAAAATTGAAAGAAATACGTCAAGTTGATATTGACCAAATTTTGACCGTATCACCCTTTAGTCAGTAAAGGCACGGTATTACCAAGCCGGAGGCGGCGGGTCCGATTCCCGTTTCGGTCGAGAGAATCTTACGGATTGGAAATTTTCTCGACTTCCCTGGGCATAGAGTATCATTGTGCTTGCCTTACCACACAATATACAAATTCATGCATTGGTATTGGCATCGATAGCTCTCAATTAATGACTGTGGAAGTGCATTTAGAACACTAAGTTGAGAGTACGCAATAAGCTTATATGCGCTAAGCAATAAGCTTGAAATGCGAACAATAAGAAGAAGAAGGACATATCAATACCAAATTTAAAATACCAAGGGAAGTTAATTCCAAGTATTATTCCAACGAAATTTTGCGTAAAATTTCAAAGGAATTGGAGCAGTGAATTTTTAGAAAAATCAAAAGAGAGTTCCGAAAAAAATATCAGGATCGTTTCAAAGATTTAATGAGAATTCTAAAACTAGCAGAACTAACGAGGAATTTCAATGGTGTAATTCCATATAAATTTCTGCAGAATACTTAGTAAATACTGAGCGGAACTCCGAGTGAGTTATTTCAGGAGCATTTTTCGAGGAATTGCTAGAGAACTATAAGAATTATTAATAATATAATGAACATTGCAGAGTGCATTCAGAGAGTGTTCTGCAGAAGAAGTTTATTGAGCAAACTACTACTACTAAACAAACTACTACTACTACAAACTAAACTACTACTCAGTTTACGAAGCCTGTTTTTAAGCAGTATTCTTTGGACGTAGCACTACGTCTATGATTTCTATATGGGGGTACACTTTGTGAAAATCGAAAATGGAACATTTAACAAAATTATGAAAGATTTTGAAAGATAATTACTCAGCCGCTCCTGGACCAATTTCAATAATTCTATCACAAATCGATCAGAAATATTCCTACGCGTCTGTTAAAGTTAAGAATTTATCATTTTTCAAAATGTCACTATCGAAAATTGCACGAATGTACAACTGTTCCTATGATAATTAAAATTATCATCGATTGCCTGCGAAAAGCGATTTCCCTAACACAGATTTCAAAGCTGAATTCCATCCGGTCTCACCAAACGGTGTTTATTCAATCACCGTGTGGTGAGTGGTTTTGTTCTCCAGTTCACAACAAAAGGCTGCCTGCAAGCAGCGAGCTGCAGCCCACATGAGCATTCATAGAAGGAAACAGCACCGCTATTGATCGGAATCAGTAGCTCTTCATGAGTCGCTGTGGGCCATCTATGTCAAGCGCGTCATATTAAAGGGTATAAACAGAGAGAACCCCATTCAAATTCCTATTCCTACACAAAACACAAGCTCCAGCTGCAGTTAACAAATAAAATTTATTATATAAGACCACGTAGTCCTACGTCACCATTACGTACCACCCCATAGGGCTGTTCCTTGTAGTTTTTTTGCGAAGTAAATCCCGAAGTACGAGGTTTTTGGTTACGGAGCAAATTGCAAATAACGATTTTTTTTGCGGTTCTGGGAATCTGGGAAATACTGTGAAATACCATACAATATAAGTATTTTTGAAACCAGGGTAACGTGTAGGAACCGTAAATCCATGTCTGACGCTATTTTGAAATCCACGATAGCGGCTTCCGGTTACAGAAAAACTGGGAAACACTGTCAAATACCCCACAATATGGGTATTTTTGGAATCAGAGTGATGTTTAGGGACCGGAGATCCATGTCTAGCACCATTTTTTAATCCAAAATGATGGCTTCAGGTTACAGGAAAACTGAAGAATACTGTCAAATACCTCACAAGATGAGTATTTTAGGATTCTGGATGACGTGTAGGAACCAGAAGTCGATGCCTGATGCCATTTTGAAATCCAAGATAGCAAACTTCCGGGTACAGACAAATTGGAAATTACTGTGAAAAATCACACAATACGGATGTTTTTGGACTCGAGGTGAGGTGTAGGGACCGGAAATCGATGTTTGACGCCATTTTGCAATCCAAGATGGCAGCTTCAGGTTACAGAAAAACTGAAGAATACTGTCAAATACCTCACAAGATGAGTATTTTAGGAATCGGGGTGACGTGTAGAGACCGGAAGTCGATGTCTGACCCCATTTTGAAATCCAGAATGGCAAACTTTCGTTTACAGACAAACTGGAAAATACTGCCAAATACCCCATAACTGAAGAATACTGTCAAATACCTCACAAGATGAGTATTTCAGGAATCGGGGTGACGTGTAGGAACCGGAAGTCGATGTCTGATGCCATTTTGAAATCCAAGATAGCAAACTTCCGG